TGATCTGAGCTTTTGGATTCTCGTGGACGGTCATGATAATACCACCCTCAAAGTCGCTTAGGTCACTCGTTTTGCCCATTGTAACGTTCAATCTAACAGTAACTGAATGCCTCGATTGCTGTCTGCCTGCTTTATATAGCAAGACACAGCCACGTGACTCACTGTCTGTAGGCGCAAACCATTTTCGTGAACAGGGTGGTGTACCTAATAAACTGGCCCCTGAGTGTACAAAACATTATGAAAACCTGCTCTTTCCATGACATATACTGACCAGATGAATCCAGGTGAAAGCTGTGATCCCTTATTGATGTCACTTGTTAAATCCACTTCAATCAGGGTAGATGAAGGGGAGGATACAGGTTAAAGATGGATTTTTAAGCCTTGAGACATGGACTGTGGATGTGTGCCATTCAGAGGGTGAATGGGCAAGACAAAAAAATGTAAGTGCCTTTGAACGGTGTATGGTAGTAGGTGCCAGGCGCACCGGTTTGTGTCAAGAACTGCAACACTGCTGTTTATTTTTCAGCATCTCTGTGGAACACTTTCAACAGATTGTAGAGTCCATGCCCCGACGAATTGAGGCTATTCTGAGGGCAAATTGGAGTGAACTGATTGGAGAGGGAATATCCCTCCTGCTAATTCTAATTCTATGAATGCAGCATTCCATGCGTGACAGAACAACAGTCTCATCTCAAATGATGTAGAAAATGATGAATAACTGCAGCTGTTTCTGCATGAATTCATACATTCTGCTAATTATGACATGGAATGGAGTTTGATGTCCTATTTCCACAGCATTTGTCTATGAATGTATTCAATTTAATTTCTAGCGTGAGATGTAAAGAAACAAGAGGGAAACACAGGAGGATGACGCAGTCTGTCAGACCTAGCTAGCCCCTGGCATGACACACACACACAACACACACACACACACAGCCCAGAGAACAGCAGAGCAACTGTCCTTAGTCAGCGCACACTGTCTTGTAGAGCTAAAATGCTTCAATTTGCAGTTGGACTGCAGTTCGCTGGGCTGTGTGTGTGTGTGTGTGTGTGTGTGTGTGTGTGTGTGTGTGTGTGTGTGTGTGTGTGTGTGTGTGTGTGTGTGTATGTATGCTTTTCCCTGGGCCAGTGAAAGTGTCAGTCGATAGATGCACGGTGACAGGTCCTCTCTCTCAGCTCGCTGTGTGTGCAGGGGGAGGTGTGCTGATCTGTGTGTGTTTGTATGTCTGTGACAGCAGCTGCAGAGGCCTGCAGAGGACAAACAGACACACAGCATGTTGTTATAAAACCACCTGGCTCTTTAAACTCCTAATCAGACTCAAACCAGATGTGAACTGAAAACTGTTTTTGATTTGTTCTTTTTGAAAGACTTCTCTACTGTGGACAAGCACACACACCAGTCCCTGTTTGACCTAGCCCTGTTATTAGAAAAGCGTGAATCAAACAGAAGTCTGCTTGGAGTGGGTCAGCAGAGAAGAGGTCGAGATTGTTTACTTGCAGGTTCTCCTACAGACTTACTTATTTTAGTCACGGGTCTGGCTTTGATCTCAGCCCTGTTAGTCCTGCACACTGTGTGTGTGTGTGTGTGCGTGTGGATATGGGCGTGTGTGTGTGTGCATGCGTGCGTGCGTGCACATGTTTTCACGCTATTCTTGAACATTCCTTTTCTCCCAGACCCCTCCCCCCGCTTTGCCCTCAACCCACCAATGTCACACACACAGTGACAGCAATCGGTCATGTTGCCATGCCGCCGGCAGTCACATCAACCACTGACATTTCCAATCATGAGAGAGAGAGAGAGAGAGAGAGAGAGAGAGAGAGAGAGAGAGAGAGAGAGAGAGAGAGAGAGAGAGAGAGAGAGAGAGATATCGAGTATATCGAGAGAGACAGATGAGGAGAGAGCTCTCTCTCCGGCTCTATCCTCCTCTCTGGCTATCTAGAGATCCCGCTCTCTCTCATCTCTAGCGATCTACTCGAGAGAGAGAGAGATCGCCTCTGGAGTGATCTATACTCAGGGTTCAATACCCTGCTACCATAAACTGAAAATGCCTCTAGATGTTTTCACTGTACAAGGAACAGAGGCACACATCATTATCATCAGCTAGATTAGAGCACTGTCAAGTAGAATATCTACAGCAGTGTATCATTTGGATCAGTGTATTTCAGTGTTTGCTGCGGGTCACCAGGACCATGGTTGACAAACAGGGGTCTAGGTGATTACTTGAGCAGACAGGACTGATGCATCTTTAACAGAGTTATGTTCACTCCACAGCTAGCTTGAAATATCGCCCATGGAGCTATCCAATTGGTACCTTTTGTATAGCTCAATCGGTTGGTACGTTGTTAAGGAGGACGGTCACGTGTGTCTGCGAGCAGAGGATCACTGGTTTGAGCCTGGTATGGGGATAGGGGAGCATTTCCCAACTTAGGGGTCACGACCCCATGTGGGGTTAGCTGATTTGAAAATGGGGTCTTGAAAAAAGCTCTGAAAAGAAACAACAATAATCCCTATCACTGTAAGATAAGACTCTCAGGAACATGTGTCTTGTGAACTGTTTCCCTCTACAATGCCCACAAAGCCTCATTAGAACAGAGTGGACAAGACCAGGCACTAAATCAGACCGGGGGAAAAAGAACATCATCAATGATTATGATGTTATTTTCTACACAGAAGATCATACAAAAGTATTGCCTGATTATCTTTTGAACTTCCCAATATCTTTCTGATGCATTTCAGTCACTTCAAATTATACCTCCTTAAGATTGAAATACTGTCTGAAGTACTGTCAGATTGATTTGTAATAGACTGTCATAGCCCAAATTAATAAAAGTGAACATTGGCAGTTGATTACATACATTTTTTTACATGGTGGGGTTGCAAAAATGTTTTTATATCCAAATGGGGTCGCGGGCCAAAAATGTTTGGGAACCCCGGGATAGGGACAGTGGAGGAAGATATACTGTGAACAGCACACTTGACCTCGGTTGCACTACCATGTTTTGAACTGAAGGAGTGCTGTACCAAATCGCTTTGGTTGGGCGAGGTAGCAGAAATAAGTGGCTGTTGGGTACTTTGCCTTTGTGATAGTTGGGGAACAGTCGGTACTGTATGCACAGCCACTTATGGCGGCAGATTGACGAGGGCGGCATTTTCTGAGCTAAACTGACCAAGACGCACCTCCAAAAACACATAAAACCTCACAATTCTGCCTAAAAACAATGATAATTTCTCTCAACCAGTGGCATATGGGCTTTTTAGGTGAGCGCTGATGCCGCCCTGTGATAAGCAGTGCCCACTTTGTCAAAGGTATGGGCGCAAAACATTTTGCTTGCCCATTCCCAGCACACTTGTCAAGGGTCCTGTTGGAGAGACGCATCGCTGCGGCGCTCCACCAACATTCCGTAAAAAAGACAAAATCGAACATAAATCATGTAGCAGATATAGGATATGGTAGAAAGAGTATGTGGCCTTTTCTGTAGCTTACAGGCTGGAGATAAAATGTATGACAATGTAATGAGATGGACACTTTTTACATCATGCAGGTTTCTGAGATCAATCTAAATGGCGCTCAATCAAATAAAAAATGTGCTGTCATGTTAACAAACAACATATAAGTATATAGGTTATAGGTTGAGAGCTTTTGTGAAAGAGCACAGTTAGAAAGATATGGCATATAGAAGCAAACTGGATGGACATCATGAAAATGATCAGAGAGGTTGAGGGTAGAGGAAGTTCAGGAGTAAAAACAAACAAAATATAATTATTGTAAAATGTACTGTGTCCATAAAATGTATATAGAATGTATAAGCTGGAAGTAGATGCCTAAGCATTGTTGTTCACTAGTTTACTCCAATTAGGGAAGGGATGGTGGGGTTGGAAAGTAATAAAGGGAAATATATTTTTAAAAAGGATATGTATATGTGTATGTATATGTATGTGTATGTGTATGTGTATGTGTATGTATATGTGTATGTATATATATATATATATGTATGTGTGTGTATATATATATATATATATATATATATATATATATATATATATATATATTTGCAAGAAAAAATAAACATATGGGGGATTGGAAGTGTCCCCTGTAGCTCAGTTGGTAGAGCATGGCGCTTGCAACGCCAGGGTTGTGGGTTCGTTTCCCACGGGGGGCCAGTATGAAAATGTATGCACTCACTAACTGTAAGTCGCTCTGGATAAGAGCGTCTGCTAAATGACTAAAATGTTACATTGATGGAAGATACAATCTATCTGCAATATTAAAGCTGATCTACCCCCTAAAAAAATTAAAATAATAATAAAATAACATATCCTAAAAACAGGACAGGTCAAAGTAAAATCGACACTATGGAATGAACTATCACAACTGTTGGCCAGGAGTTTCACCCCATTGTCATGATCAGTGGTTTCAAGTTTGTATTTGCCAATCTTTTACAAGCTGATCATAGCGAAAAATAACATACTTCTGCATTTACAGCTGTGTAAACACATCGCAAACAGGCTCACGATAACTTCTGATAAAGTTGGGTAGCTGATATTCAGACCTTAAATAGCCAAATAGATTAGTCACAGGAATCAGGACTAATACAGGCAACGCAACGGCCTGTTTTACAAACGGTGGGCCTACCACATGGATGGGCGTTCATAAAATTCCATTGCAGCGACATGGTAGCTACACCCCAGTAAGCACAAGCCGACGTCTTTTGTATGTCTTTTTTTGGTCCTGTGTTTTACAAACGGTAAGCTTACCACATAGATGGGCATTCATAAAATTATATTTCAGGCAACACTGTAGGCTACACCTCAGTAAGCACAGACCGACTGCAAAGCATTTTGGAGATTTTTTGGTGCAGTCCGGACCGGCCTTGATTTCCACATCCACGGACATTGGGTTTTGGTCTGGACCAAATCTGATGTTAAGTACTGTTGGCCGGCAAATGCTACCAGTGTGTCCCCGCTCTGTCTGTCAGGTCAGTCAGCAGGATGTACCAGCATGGTGGAGGTCATGGAGTTGGCCCTCAGGAGGTGGAGCTAACAGACGAAGAGAAGGAGATCATCAACAGTGTTCTGGCTCGGGCTGAGACCATGGAGGCTATGGAGCAGGAGAGGATCGGGTGAGAGAGAGAGAGAGAGAAAGAGACAGAGTGAGAGAGAACGCGAGAGAGCGCGAGAGAGAGAGAGAGAGAGCGCGAGAGAGAGAGAGAGAGAGAGAGAGAGAGGGAGAGAGAGAGAGAGAGAGAGAGAGAGAGAGAGAGAGAGAGGGAGAGAGAGAGAGAGAGAACTGTGTGTGCATGCGTGAGTGTTTGTCTTTGTGTGTGTGTGTGTGTGTGTGCGTGTCCGTGTGCGTGTGTGTGTGTGTGTGTGTGCATACTGTGTGATCTCTCCTCTAGGCGGTTGGCGACCTATCTGGACAGTGTGTGTCTTTTGTGTGTGTGTGTTCTGCAGGCGTTTTGTCACTAAGTTGGACAGTATGAAGAAGACGGCGTGTGGAGATGGTCAGTCTCGTTGTCTGCTGTGTGGAGAGACGTTTGGCCAGCAGGGAGTCACCTCTGTACTCTGTTCCCACTGCAATAAGGTAACAAACACACCTACCTACAGAGAATACTACAACACATTGACGGGACTCACAGGGGTAAACTCCTGTATCTCCTGTAACTCCTATATCTCCTGTAACTCCTGTATCTCCTGTAACTCCTGTATCTCCTGTATCTACGGTATCTCCTGTAATTACGGTATCTCCTGTATCTACGGTATCTCCTGTATCCCCGGTATCTCCTGTATCTACTGTAACTCATTCTGTTTGTCCCTTTCTTTTGTTCTACTTTCTAGTTCTTGTTACTTCCAGCAAAGATGATACTGTCTGTAAGGTTCACTACATGAGTGTGTGTGTGTGTGTGTGTGTGTGTGTGTGTGTGTGTGTGTGTTTCTGCCCCCAGCACATGTGCAGTAAGTGTGGGATTCAGAACAGCCATTTGTCATATCCAGTGTGGGTCTGTAGGATCTGCAGTGAACAGAGAGACAGAGAGAGAGAGAGAGACAGAGAGAGAGAGAGAGAGAGAGAGAGAGAGAGAGAGAGAGAGAGAGAGAGAGAGAGAGAGAGAGAGAGAAGAGAGAGAGAGAGAGAGAGAGAGAGAGAGAGAGAGAGAGAGAGAGAGAGAGAGAGAGAGAGAGAGAGAGAGGAGAGAGAGAGGAGAGAGAGAGAGAGAGAGAGAGAGAGAGAGAGAGAGAGAGATGACAAGGGGAGAGTGATGAGGGGAAGAAAGAAGGGGTGGAGAGACAGTCATTAGCTTTAATAATTCTCAGTACCCCATCTAATTATCCTCCATTGAATATTCCCTCTTATGAGAAACAATTGTGGTTGCTTGTCCCTTCAGAATCTAAAGTGGGGAGAGAGGAAGAGAAGGGGTAGAAGAGAGAGGAGAAAGGGTAGAAGAGAGAGAATGAGAAAGAGAAAGGATAGAAGAGAGAGAAGGAGAAAGAGAAAGGGTAGAAAATGAGAAAGAGAAGGGGTAGAACAGAGAGAAGGAGGGAGATGAGGGTTCAGCTGGTTCAGACTAAATCACGCTCATTTTATTTGCTAAGTCCGTTCCACAGTGTTCTTTAGTGCTGGCCCTGTGTTCGGTGAAACCGCTCCCCCAGGGAACTCAGACCCTTTAATTAAATGGTCTTACCTGTCAGTCAATGGGCGATAACTAATCTGCTAAGCACGCTACCCCCCCACTCTCTCTCTCTCCATCTCATTCTCTCTGTCTCTCACCATCTAATTCTCTCTCTCTCCATCTCTCTCTAGTTGTCTTTCTCGCGCTCTCTCTCTCACTCTCACTCTATCTCTCTCTTTCTCTACATCTCTTCCTCTCTCTCTCATTCTCTGTGTCTCTCCATCTCTCTTTCTGTGTCTAGATGTTGAAGCGTTCTGGAGCATGGTTCTTTAAGGGCCATCCCCAGCAGCTCCTCCCTGCTCCCCTGCCCATCTCCAGGCCCAGAGGGACAGGTACAGAGAGCCCCCGTACCCAGACCCCTACCCATGCCCATCACCAGCCCAGCGCCCAGCCCTATCCCCGTACCCAGCCAAGCTACCAGCCAGACCCTGGTGCCGAGGACTGCACAGAGCGGCAGGAGCAGCAGGATAACTACTACTCCAACACACAGAACCAAGGTGAGCAGTGGAAACAAGCATTTCGATTTCACTACTAGTTGGACTTGTATGAGAGGTATAAGCAAAAGCTTTTAGTATATATCTCAGATGTTTGGTATCGAGGACATGTAATCTTCCTCTCTCCGTCTTGTCTCAGAGCCCACTGATGAGCCCCCGTACTCCAGTTCAGAGCAACAGGACCCAGAGGGCTATAGCTCTGCTCAGACATTAGGGGGCGTTGCTGAGGCCCAGGTTAGCCCTGCCGTGGAGGAGGAGGTGGTGAAGATGGAGAGACAGTTAGGCTCCAGACCTCCCACAGCCAGGGGAAGAGAGAACACACCAGCACCAGCTGACACTGTCACAGCACAGGGTATGATTGAAGGGACAGTTCACCCAAATTACAAAATTACATCTGTGTTGCCTTACTCCCACTGAGAGCAGTCAATGGATAAGAAGAAACAGCTTTGGTTTTGTTTACCTACCAATTGCCACCAACGGCTAACTTGCATAATCCCTTCTACTTTGAGATTGAGACTGGCTAAATATCTGTATTTCTCTTCTTCAGCCCCTGCACCACAGAAGAGCAGATACCCTCAGCAGAGAGAGGAGAGAACGCCACTTCCAGTCAGGGAGGAGAAACCCACTCCTGCCCCCAAACCCACCCCGGCACCACGCATAGCCCCCGCTCCTGTCGAGGACGATGACAATGAATACGACTCTGATGAATCCAGTAAGTGAGTGTGTGTGTGTTTGGTTTTACAAGGATAGTGCGGAAAAGTGGGGACATTTTCCCAGTCCCCACAAGGAAAAAGGCTTAGGGTTTAGGTTTAGGGTTAGGGTTAAAATTATAATTATGGTTAGAATTAGGGTTAGATTTAGAGTTAGGAGTTTGGGGTTAAGGGTTAGGGTTAGGTTAAGGGTTAGGTTTTGGGTTAGGGGTTACAACACATCCGCCAGGCTGACCCTCAACACGGTGTCCCGTCAGGGGTGGGTGCTTAGTCCCCTCCTGTACTCCCTGTTCACCCACGACTGTGTGGCCGTGCACGACTTCTACACCAGCATTAAGTTTGCTGACGACACAATGTTGGTTGGCCTGATCATCGACGACAATGAGACAGCCTGTAGGGTGGAGGTCAGAGACCTGGCAGTGTGGTGCCAGGACAACAACCTTTCCCTCAACGTCAGCAAGACAAAGGAACTGATCGCGGACTACAGGAAACGGAGGGCCGAGCACGCCCCCATTCACATCGTCGTTGCTGTAGTGGAGCGGGTCAAGAGCTTCAAGATCTTAGGTGTCCACATCACTAAGGGATTATAATGGTCCACACACACCAACACAGTTGTGAAGAAGGCACGACAATGCCTCTTCACCTTCAGGAGGCTGAAAAGATTTGGCATGGGCCCTCAGATCCTCAAGTTATACAGCTGCACCATTGAGCGCTGCACCACCGCTTGGTATGGCAACTGCAAGGCAACTGACCGCAAGGTGCTATAGAGGGTGCTGCTCCCTGCCATCCAGGACCTCTATACCAGGCAGTGTCAGAGGAAGGCCCTAAAAATTATCAAAGACTCCAGCCAACCAAGTCATAGACTGTTCTCTCTGCTGCCACATGGCAAGCGATACCAATGCACCAAGTATGGACCAACAGGACCCTGAACAGCTTCTACCCACAAGCCATAAGACTGCTAAAGCATTGACCCTTTTTGTGCTAATTATTTTGACTCATCACATGCACTGCTGCTACTGTTTAATATCTATCCTGTTGCCTAGTCACTTTCCCCCTCCTACAGTGCATTTGGAAAGTATTCAGACCCTTTGACTTTTTCCGCATTTTGTTACATTACAGGCTTATTCTAAGATGGATTCTATTGTTTTTTCCCCCCTCATCAATCTACACACAATACCCCATAATGACAAAGCAAAAACAGGTTTTTAGAATTTTTAGCAAATCTGTTAAAAGTAAAAAACTCAAATATCACATTTATATACGTTTTCAGACCCTTTACTCTGTAATTTGTTGAAGCACCTTTGGCAGCGATTACAGCCTTGAGTCTTCTTGGGTATGACGCTACAAGCTTGGCACACCTGTATTTGGGGAGTTTCTCCCATTCTTCTCTGCAGATCCTCTCAAGCTCTGTCAGGTTGGATGGGGAGCGTCGCTGCCCAGCTATTTTCAGGTCTCTCCAGAGATGTTAGATCGGGTTCAAGTCCAGGTTCTGGCTTGGCCACTCAAGGGCATTCAGAGACTTGCCCCGAAGCCACTCCTGCGTTGTCTTGGCTGTGTGCTTAGGGTCGTTGTCCTGTTGGAAGGTGACCCTTTGCCCCAGTCTGAGGTCCTGAGCACTCTGGAGCAGGTTTTCATCAAGGATCTCTCTGTACTTTGCTCTGTTCATCTTTCCCTCAATCCTGACTAGTCTCCCAGTCACTGCTGCTGAAAAACATCCCCACAGCATGATGCTGCCACCACAATGCTTCACCGTAGGGATGGTGCCAGGTTTCCTCCAGACGTGATGCTTGGCATTCAGGCTAAAGAGCTCAATCTTGGTTTCATCAGACCAGAAAATCTTGTTTCTCATGGTCTGAGAGTCCTTTAGGTGCCTTTTGGCAAACTCCAAGCGGGCTGTCATGTGCCTTTTACTGAGGAGTGGCTTCCGTCTACCATAAAGGCCTGATTGGTGGAGTGCTGCAGAGATGGTTGTCCTTCTGGAAGGTTCTTCCATCTCCACAGAGGAAATCTGGAGCTCTGTCAGAGTGACCATCGGGTTCTTGGTCACCTCCCTGACCAAGGCCCTTCTCCCCCGATTGCTCAGTTTTGCAGGGCGGCCAGCTCTAGGAAGAGTCTTGGTGGTTCCAAACTTCTTCCATTTAAGAATGATGGAGGCCACTGTGTTCTTTGGGACCGCCAATGCTGAAGACATGTTTTGGTACCGTTCCCCAGATCCTGTGTCTGAGCTCTACGGACAATTCCTCATGGCTTTGGTTTTTGCTCTGACATGCACTGTCAACTGTGGGACCTTATATAGACAGGTGTGTTCCTTTCCAAATCATATCCAATCAATTGAATTTACCACAGGTAGACTCCAGTCAAGTTGTAGTAGCAAAGGGTCTGAATACTTATGTAAATAAGGTATCTGTTTATTATGTTTAAAACATTTACAAAAATGTATAGAAATCTGTTTTCACTTCGTCATTATGGGGTATTGTGTGTAGATTGATGAGGAACATTTGTAATTTAATAAATTTTAGAATAAGGCTGTAACGTAACAAAATGTGGATAAAGGGAAGGGATCTGAATACTTTCCGAATGCACTGTATATGTACATATCTACCTCAATTACCTCGTACCCCTGCACATCGACTCAGTACTGGTACCCCGTGTATATAGCCAAGTTATCGTTACTCATTGTGTCCATATTTATTCCTTGTGTTATTATTTCTCTATTATTTCTCATCTTTTCTCTCTGCATTGTTGGGAAGTCAGGAAGCATTTCACCGTTTGCCTACACCTGTTGTTTACGAAGCATGTGACAAATACAATTTGTCACATGGGAAAATTGGATTTTGAATGGGAAACAATTGTTTGCAAAACAAACGTGTGTGTGTGTGGTTCCTTTTTATTAATTTCAAACATTTGATGACTTCCTCTACCTTGTCGCTAAACACGATCCTCTACATGCTGTGTAGCTACATAACAATCAAACTTTGTTAGCCCACAGGGGAATGTGGTTCCCAAGCAGGGACAATGTAGAACAACCATAAAATACACATATTCTACTGCACAGACACTCGCCTTCACTCTGTGATTCTGTTATTCCCTCACTCTCTCACTCTCTCTCTTTCTCTCTCTCTCTCCCTCTCTCTTTGTTGGTTGCAGTAACCAATCTGATGCTCTTTTGTCATTATTTTGTTCTGTCCTTCAGCCACGCTGGGGTTGCTGGAGTTCATTCTGCATTATGAACAGGAGAACAACGCTCTGCCCTGCAACATAGTCAAAGCCAAGGTATACACACACACACATACACAACACAGTGTGTACGCATATACATATAAACCACATAGCTTCAATGACATGCTTGAATGGTTCATCTTTAGGTTGATATTCTCTCGCTCTCTCACTTTCTCTCTCTCTCCCTATGTCTCTCTTTCTCTCTCAGTGTCTAAAGCCGATGGACTCTAACGGACTAGCAGACCCCTACGTCAAGCTGCACCTCTTACCTGGAGCCAGTAAGGTAACTTCAACACTTCTGGTTTCCTATAATCTTCTCTTTGTGTTGTAGCCCTGTGTTTCTTTAAAAAAAAAGGTTTTATGTATTTTTTATTGAGATCGGACAGTGAAGAGGAGGCAGGAAAGCTAGGAGAGTTTGCATGTAAGAATTCGAACCCAATGCCGACTCTGGCAGCTTAGGCTGTACATGTGTGCTGTGAACTTTAACCGCTGGACCACACAATAGGCCTGTACTCCTGCTTCCTGTTGACACAGACGTTCCCCTGGTGAAATAATCATGTACATCTATTCATCTTCTCTCCACAGTCTAACTGTTAGACAGTCTAAAAGTCTAACAAACTTTGCACTAAGTGAAAATAAGAAAAATCTTTCCCTCTCTCTCTGTCGCTCTCCCTCTCCATTTGTCTCCCTCTGTCTCCTGCTCTATTTCTTCCCCTGTCTCCCCCTCCCCCTCTCCGCGTTTCCTCCAGTCTAACAAGCTGCGCACTAAGACCCTGAAGGGCACTCTGAACCCAGTGTGGAATGAGACTCTGGTGTACCATGGTATCACTGAGGACGACATGCAGCGCAAAACACTACGGTAATAACAGCCTCAACCATACCACTACTGGATATATGTGTGACACACTGGGTCATCTGAAATGATTCGGAAATGATTCCTTTCAGTGGCTCTCCATTTAGATCAGTATGATTTCCCAGAGCTAAAGGGAAAGAGGAGAATAAAAATTGTTCTGTGATGCAAGAAGAGAGTAAGAGAATAAAACTCCTCTTCCTGGGCCTCCCGAGTGGCACAGCGGTCTAAGGCACTGCATCACAGTGTTGCAGCATCACTACAGCCTGGGGTTCGATCCTGTGATCATGACCGGGAGTCCCATAGGGCGTTGTACAATTGGCCCAGTGTCGTCCGGGTTAGGAGAGGGTTTGGCTGGGGGGGGGGGCTTTACTTGGCTCATCGCGCTCTAGTGACTCCTTGTGGCGGGCCGGGCGCCTGCAAGCTGACTTTGGTCGACAGTTGAACAGTGTTTCCTCCGACACATTGGTGCAGCTGGCTTCCGGGCTAAGTGAGCGAGTGTTAAGAAGCAGCCCGGCTTGGCGGGTCATGTTTCGGAGGACGCATGACTCGACCTTCGCCTCTTCCGAGCCCGCTGGGGAGTTGCAGCGATGAGACAAGATCGTAATTGGATCACAATTGGATATCACGAAATTGGGAAGAAAAAGGGGGGGAAATTAAAAGAATAAGATAATAAAATTCCTCTTCCTGCTTCCAGGCTGTCGGTGAGTGATATGGACAAGTTTGGACACAATGAGTTCATAGGAGAGACACGTGTTGCTCTGAAGAAACTCAAAGCCAACCAGAAGAAGAACTACAGCGTGTGTCTAGAGAGGGTGGTCCAGGTAAGAACTACAACAGTGTGTGTCCATGAGTGCATGCCTGGAGACAGTTGTCTAACCACTGAACCACTTGTGCGTTGTGGAGGCAACTGTTAATAATACTGATAGAAGTGATCTCACCCCCACGCTCCCTCTTGTCCCAGGTGAAGAAGACAGGCACAAGAGGCTCAGCCCGGGGCATGTCTCTCTACGAGGAGGAGGTAAGACCCACCCGTTTCTTGTAGTTGGCCACCAGGTTTGCACACATGTCAGGAGGGATTTTGTTCCACTCCTCTTTGCAGATCTTCTCCAAGTCATTAAGGTTTCGAGGCTGACGTTTGGCAACTCGAACCTTCAGCTCCCTCCAAGGCGTACAAAATCAGCAGGGGATCAAATACTTTTTTACCTCACTGTACATGTACAAATGAACTCGACTAACCTGTACCCCCCGCACATTGTCCGGTACCCCCCGAATAGCCTCATTATTGTTCTTTTATTGTGTAACTTTTATTTAGTAAATATTTTCTTAACTCTATTTTCTTAAAACTGCAGTGTTGGTTAAGGGCTTGTAAGGAAGCATTTCACAGTAAGGTCTACACCTGTTGTATTCGGCGCATGTGACAAATACAATTTTATTTGATTTGATTTTAACACAGTACTCAGGGTTTACACTTGACGTTCACACCTAAGATCTACACCTAACACAGTACTCAGGGTGTAAGGTTGGTGTGAGGTGTGACCCAGGTGCGGTGCAGGATAGACAGTAGGCAGTAGGCAGAGATGGTGGAACAAGGATCTTTACTGGAGGTCCATCCCCCGGATGGCTGGTGAGGTCGGATGCGTGCGCCCACTGAAGCAGTCGCAAGCACGCAGCCTTGGGTACGTACATCCCCGATGGACCTCCGCCCAGATCGGGCTCCCGCCGTAGCGCTGCTCTGACCAGCCTATTGATTCCCCATGAAACTGGGGCAGCAATCAGGGCATTGGGGACAATGGGGTCGTCCCAGTCCACCAGGTCCACGGGGTCGAACGGCCGGGAGAACGCGTCAGGCTTGGTGTTCTTCGACCCCGGATGGTATGAGATCGTGAACCGGAACCTGGTGAAGAACAACGCCCACCTGGCCTGGCGTGAGTTGAGCCTCTTGGCCCCCTGAATGTAGGCTAAGTTCTTATGGTCAGTCCATACGACGAATGGATGGGCGGCCCCCTCTAGCCAATGCCTCCACTCCCCCAGGGCAAACTTGACCGCTAGCAGCTCCCGGTTCGTAATTCCGCTCTGCCGGGGACAGCCGATGGGAGAAAAACGCGCAGGGGTGAGTCTTACCGTCCATGAGGAACCGCTGGGACAGGATTGCTCCCACCGCAACGTCTGAAGCATCCACCTACACAATGAACGGCAGGGACGGATCAGGATGCCCTAGGACCAGGGCCGATGTAAAGCACCGCTTAAGCGCATCAAATGCGTTCCATGCTTCCAGGGTCCAGGCGAAGGAGCGCATGCTCGTCTGGGTGAGGGCTGTAAGGGGAGCGGCTAGGGAGCTAAAATTGCAAATAAAAATTAGCGAACTCTAAAAACCGTTGTAGTTGGTTGAGGGAGGAGGGCTGGGGCCAATCCAGTACCACGCTGACCTTGGCTGGGTCCATCCGTAGGTCCCCCTGGGTGACGATGAACCCCAGGAAGGAGACTGTCTCCGTGTGGAACATGCACTTCTCCGCCTTGACGTAGAGCTGGTGACAGAGAAGGTGTTGGAGGACCTGCCGAACGTGCTGCTGGTGTTCACTCATGTCCTTTGAAAATATTAGAATGTCATCCAAATACATGAAGACGCTGTAGTTGTGGAGGTCCCGGAGCACGTCGCAAGCCCGGGTCCGGAACTCCACGGAGTAGTCCGCCACCGAACGGTCAACCTGCCGACAGGCCGTGAGCCGCCTCTCGGCCTCGTACCCCGACACCACCCGAGAGGTGTCGAACACCTTGCATAGCTCCCGGGTGAATTGGTAGGAGTCGGAGCATGCCGGAGTTTGGCTCTCCCACTCCGCGGTAGCCCAGGAAAGGGCCCTGCTGGGCTACCGCGGAGTGGTAATGTAGACCACCAGCCCTGCTCCGTCGGGAAGGAGGAGGGTTGTAGGCTGAATACCAGGGAACACTGGGTGAGGAATTCCCTGCAGCCCTCTGTACGTCCGTCGTACCTCTCCGGAGGTGGTAGGCGGGGTTCCCGCGATGTCGCATGTGTTGCCAATGCGCTACGATACTGCGCTGCCTCCGCTGGGTCCATATTGGCTCAGTTTTCTGTAAGGGTTGGTGTGAGGTGTGTCCCAGGTGCGGTGCAGGATAGACAGTAGGCAGTAGGCAGAGATGGTGGAACAAGGATCTTTACTGGTGGTCCAAAAGCCAGGATACAAAATAACAGACTTGTCACGATAAAATAAAAGAGGAGCAAATTGGTCTCCAAAAACAGGCTGACAGCAGAAATACGAAATACTAACTATGACTGAAACAACAATGAAACAGGGAGAACACTTCTCAAGTACCTGTACATACGTCTCACGATCAGACACTGATTCGTACTGCTTGGCATCGAGAAACTAGCAGAGAAAACGGAGCAAGGGAACACAGGGAAGTGAGGGCATAAATACACAGGTGAACAGGTAGACACAGGTGACACCAATAGGATACTGATTAGTCCAGACTGTGAGTGAGGAGGTGCCTAAGGTTGTCGGAGGATGACACCTAGTGGGTCGCTCCGGAACTGCGACCCCCTCCTGTAACATCAGGGTTTACACTTGGCGTTCACACCTAAGATCTACACCTGACACAGTACTCAGGGTTTACACTTGACGTTCACACCTAAAATAGTAGCTGAATTCTGATGTATGATTTATGTCCATTGAATTTAGTGGGAACTTATTCTGCACCCATTAGGCATCCTTGCCTTGCTACACAATGCAAATACCTTTCAAGGACAATGTACAGTTCTATTCTGATCTATTTATACTGGGACCTGTGGCCCTGGTCCATATTCCAGAAGGACATGGTTGCTTTTACTGTCAGAATGTTGTGCCTATAGTTTTCCAGACATTACATAACTCAGGTTATCTAATGTATGTGTAACCCATGTTAGAGAACATTATATTATCATGTACTCTAACCTAGATTAAATATACACTGAGTGTACAAAACATTAAGAACACCTTCCGAATATTGAGTTGCACCTACCCCTTTTGCCCACAGAACAGCCTCAATTTGTCAGGGCATGTACTCTACAAGGTGTCGAAAGCCTTCCACAGGGATGCTGGCCCATGTTGACTCCAATGCTTCCCAAAGTTGTGTCAAGTTGGCTGGATGTCCTTTGGGTGGAAACTGTTGAGTGTGAAAAACCCAGCAGCGTTGCAGTTCTTGACACAAACCGGTGTGCCTGGCACTTACTACCATAGCCCGTTCAAAGGCACTTAAATAAACTCAGCAAAAAAAGAAACGTCCCTTTTTCAGGACCCTGTCTTTCATAAATTCGTAAAAATCCAATAACTTCACAGATCTTCATTGTAAAGGGTTTAAACACTGTTTCCCATGCTTGTTCAATGAACCATAAACAATTAATGAACATGCATCTGTGGAACCGTGGTTAAGACACTAACAGCTTACAGACGGTGGGCAATTAAGGTCAAAGTTATGAAAACTTAGTACACTAAAGAGGCCTTTCTACAGACTCTGAAAAACACCAAAAGAAAGATGCCCATGGTCCCTGCTCATCTGCGTGAACGTGCCTTAGGCATGCTACAAGGAGGCATGAGGACTGCAGATGTGGCCAGGGCAATAAATGTCCGTACTGTGAGATGCCTAAGACAGCGCTACAGGGAGACAGGATGGACAGCTGATCGTCCTCGTAGTGGCAGACCACGTGTAACAACACCTGCACAGGATCGGTACATCCGAACATCACACCTGCGGGACAGGTACAGGATGGCAACAACAACTGCCCGAGTTACACCAGGAACGCACAATCCCTCCATCAGTGCTCAGACTGTCCGCAATAGGCTGAGAGAGGCTGGCTTGTAGGCCTGTTGTAAGGCAGGTCCTCACCAGACATCACTGGCAGCAATGTAGACTATGGGAACAAACCCACCGTCGCTGGACCAGACAGGACTGGCAAAAAGTGCTCTTCACTGACGAGTCGCGGTTTTGTCTCACCAGGGGTGATGGTCGGATTCGCGTTTATCGTCGAAGGAATGAGCGTTACACCGAGGCCTGTACTCTGGAGCGGGATCGATTTGGAGGTGGAGGGTCCGTCATAGTCTGGGGCGGTGTGTCACAGCATCATCGGACTGAGCTTGTTGTCATTGCAGGCAATCTCAACGCTGTGCGTTACAGGGAAGACATCCTCCTCCCTCATGTGGTACCCTTCCTGCAGGCTCATCCTGACATGACCCTCCAGCATGACAATTCCACCAGCCATACTGCTCGTTCTGTGCGTGATTTCCTGCAAGACAGGAATGTCAGTGTTCTGCCATGGCCAGTGAAGAGCCCGGATCTCAATCCCATTGAGCACGTCTGGGACCTGTTGGATCGGAGGGTGAGGGCTAGGGACATTCCCCCCAGAAATGTCCGGGAACTTGCAGGTGCCTTGGTGGAAGAGTGGGGTAACATCTCACAGCAAGAACTGGCAAATCTGGTGCAGTCCATGAGGAGGAGATGCACTGCAGTACTTAATGCAGCTGGTGGCCACATCAGATACTGACTGTTACTTTTGATTTTGACCCCCCCTTTGTTCAGGGACACATTATTACATTTCTGTTAGTCACATGTATGTGGAACTTGTTAAGTTTATGTCTCAGTTGTTGAATCTTGTTATGTTCATACAAATGTTTACACATGTTAAGTTTGCTGAAAATAAACGCAGTTGACAGTGAGAGGACGTTTTTTTGCTGAGTTTATTTTGTCTTGCCCATTCACCCTCTGAATGGCACACATACACAATCCATGTCTCAAGACTTTAAAATATTTCTTTAACCTATCTCCTCCCCTTCCTCTACACTGATTGAAGTGGATTTAACAGGTGACATCAATAAGGGATCATAGCTTTCACCTGGTCAGTCTATGTCATGGAAAGAGTTATTAATGTTTTGTACACTCAGTGTACATGACTGACCAGGTAAATACATGACCAGTAGCAGAGAGATTATATGTACAGTGGCTTGCGAAAGTATTCACCCCCTCCCCCCCTCCCATGGCATTTTTCCTATTTTGTTGCCTTACAACCTGGAATTAAAATTGATTTTTTGGGGGGTTGTATCATTTGATTTACACTACATGCCTACCACTTTGAAGATGCAAAATATTTTTTATTGTGAAACAAACAAGAAATAAGACAAAAAAACTGAAAACTTGAGCGTGCATAACTATTCACCCCCCAAAGTCAATACTTTGTAGAGCCACCTTTTGCAGCAATTACAGCTGCAAGTCTCTTGGGGTATGTCTCTATAAGCTTGGCACATCTAGCCACTGGGATTGTTGCCCATTCTTCAAGGCAAAACTGCTCCAGCTCCTTCAAGTTGGATGGGTTCCGCTGGTGTACAGCAATCTTTAAGTCATACCACAGATTATCAATTGGATTGAGGTCTGGGCTTTGACCAGGCCATTCCAAGACATTTAAATGTTTTCCCTTAAACCACTCAAGTGTTGATTTAGCAGTATGCTTAGGGTCATTGTCCTGCTGGAAGGTGAACCTCCGTCCCAGTCTCAAATCTCTGGAAGACTGAAACAGGTTTCCCTCAAGACTTTCCCTGTATTTAGTACAGGTATTTAGTGGGCGGCAGGTAGCTTAGTGGGTAAGAGCGTTGTGCCAGTAACCGAAAGGTCGCTGGTTCTAATCCCCGAGCCGACTAGGTGAAAAATCTGTCGATGTGCCCTTAAGCAAGGCACTTAACCCTAATTGCTCCTGTAAGTTGCTCTGGATAAGAGCGTCTGCTAAATGACTAAAATGTAATGTAAATGTAGTACCATCCATCATTCCTTCAATTCTGACCAGTTTCCCAGTCCCTGCCGATGAAAAACATCCCCACAGCTTGATGCTGCCACCACCATGCTTCACTGTGGGGATGATGTTCTCGGGGTGATGAGAGGTGTTGGGTTTGCGCCAGACATAACGTTTTCCTTGATGGCCAAAAAGCTCAATTTTAGTCTCATCTGACCAGAGTACCTTCTTCCATATGTTTGGGGAGTCTCCCACATGCCTTTTGGCAAACACCAAACGTGTTTGCTTATGGATTTAATGGTGCTCCATGGGATGTTCAAAGTTTCTGATATGTTTTTATAACCCGACCCTGATCTGTACTTCTCCACAACTTTGTCCCTGACCTGTTTGGAGAGCTCCTTGGTCTTCATGGTGCCGCTTGCTTGGTGGTGCCCCTTGCTTAGTGGTGTTGCAGACTCTGGGGCCTTTCAGAATTGGTGTATATATACTGAGACCATGTGACAGATCATGTGACACTTAGATTGCACACAGGTGGACTTTATTTAACTAATTATGTGACTTCTGAAGGTAATTGGTTGCACCAGATCTTATTTAGTGGCTTCATAGCAAAGGGGGTGAATACATATGCATGCACCACTTTTCCATTATTATTTTTTTTAGAATTTTCTGAAACAAATTATTTTTTTCATTTCACTTCACCAATTTGGACTATTTTGTGTATGTCCATACATGACATCCAAATAAAAATCAATTTAAATTACAAGTTGTAATGCAACAAAATAGGAAAATCGCCAAGGGGGATGAATACTTTTGCAAGGAACTGTATACATACTGTACATGACCATCTTTGATATGTAAATCTCTATGGGGAAATTCTTATCGTATTGGACGTAAATACACTTGTAAACCTTTTTGTGTGTGCATGCCTGCATGTGTGTCCTACAGGTAAAGGAGGATGAAGCAGAGGAGAGGGGTCGTATCCTGGTTTCTTTAACCTACAGCACCCAGAAGGGTCGTCTGATAGTGGGAGTGGTGCGCTGTGCTCACCTGGCAGCTATGGACTCTAACAGATACTCAGACCCCTTCATCAAGATGTACGTGTTCTATTCATCTAGCCACAGTATCTATCTATCTATTCTCAGAACCCTTCGTCAAGATGTACAGTGGGGGAAAAAAGTATTTAGTCAGCCACCAATTGTGCAAGTTCTCCCACTTAAAAAGATGAGAGAGGCCTGTAATTTTCATCATAGGTACACGTCAACTATGACAGACAAAATGAGAATTTTTGTAGGATTTTTAATGAATTTATTTGCAAATGATGGTGGAAAATAAGTATTTGGTCAATAACAAAAGTTTCTCAATACTTTGTTATATACCCTTTGTTGGCAATGACACAGGTCAAACGTTTTCTGTAAGTCTTCACAAGGTTTTCACACACTGTTACTGGAATTTTGGCCCATTCCTCCATGCAGATCTCCTCTAGAGCAGTGATGTTTTGGGGCTGTCGCTGGGCAACACGGACTTTCAAGTCCCTCCAAAGATTTTCTATGGGGTTGAGATCTGGAGATTGGCTAGGCCACTCCAGGACCTTGAAATGCTTCTTACGAAGTCACTCCTTTGTTGCCCGGGCGGTGTGTTTGGGATCATTGTCATGCTGAAAGACCCAGCCACGTTTCATCTTCAATGCCCTTGCTGATGGAAGGAGGTTTTCACTCAAAATCTCACGATACATGGCCCCATTCATTCTTTCCTTTACACGGATCAGTCGTCCTGGTCCCTTTGCAGAAAAACAGCCCCAAAGCATGATGTTTCCACCCCCATGCTTCACAGTAGGTATGGTGTTCTTTGGATGAAACTCAGCATTCTTTGTCCTCCAAACACGACGAGTTGAGTTTTTACCAAAAAGTTATATTTTGGTTTCATCTGACCATATGACATTCTCCCAATCCTCTTCTGGATCATCCAAATGCACTCTAGCAAACTTCAGACGGGCCTGGACATGTACTGGCTTAAGCAGGGGGACACGTCTGGCACTGCAGGATTTGAGTCCCTGGCGGCGTAGTGTGTTACTGATGGTAGGCTTTGTTACTTTGGTCCCAGCTCTCTGCAGGTCATTCACTAGGTCCCCCCGTGTGGTTCTGGGATTTTTGCTCACCGTTCTTGTGATCATTTTGACCCCACGGGGTGAGATCTTGCGTGGAGCCCCAGATCGAGGGAGATTATCAGTGGTCTTGTATGTCTTCCATTTCCTAATAATTGCTCCCACAGTTGATTTCTTCAAACCAAGCTGCTTACCTATTGCAGATTCCCAGCCTGGTGCAGGTCTACAATTTTGTTTCTGGTGTCCTTTGACAGCTCTTTGGTCTTGGCCATAGTGGAGTTTGGAGTGTGACTGTTTGAGGTTGTGGACAGGTGTCTTTTATACTGATAACAAGTTCAAACAGGTGCCATTAATACAGGTAACGAGTGGAGGACAGAGGAGCCTCTTAAAGAAGAAGTTACAGGTCTGTGAGAGCCAGAAATCTTGCTTGTTTGTAGGTGACCAAATACTTATTTTCCACCATAATTTGCAAATTAATTAATTAAAAATCCTACAATGTGACTTTCTGGATTTCTTTTCTCAATATGTCTGTCATAGTTGACGTGTACCTATGATGAAAATTACAGGCCTCTCTCATCTTTTTAAGTGGGAGAACTTGCACAATTGGTGGCTGACTAAATACTTTTTCCCCCCACTGTACGTGTTCTATTCATCTAGCTACAGTATCTATCTATCTATTCTCAGAACCCTTCGTCAAGATGTACATGTTCTAACATACCTCTCAACGTGACTGATTTTGTTTCTTCTCTCTAATATCTCCTTTTCCTACAGCAGTAAAACATTGATGGATGGATGAAATTATTGGTTGATTGATTGATTCTCTCCTGTGATTGTGACCTGCAGCTGCCTGAAACCAGACATGGGGAAGAAAGCCAAGAACAAGACCCAGATCAAGAAGAAGACCCTCAACCCAGAGTACAACGAGGTTAGTGTCCCCTTCATATCTGTCTCTACCAACACAATATCTGGTTCAAGGCCATTGTTTTATTAATACAGAGTCTAATGGCAGTCTGTCTATGCACTGAGAAATGGAGTCTGATGGCTGAAGTTGTTGCAGGAGTTCAGCTATGAGATCAAACATGGTGAGCTGGCCAAGAAGAGCCTGGAAATCTCAGTTTGGGACTATGACATGGGAACATCCAACGATTTCATTGGTGAGTTGGGACTATAACATGGGCACATCCAGTGATTTTCATTGGTGAGTTGAGAAATCCAACAATATAATTGGTGAGTTCAATTGAGATGGCATAATGAATGTACTTGTAGTTACTGATTTTTATGTTTAACAAATTATATTCTGCAGTTTTTAAGCCGACTTAAAAATAATATGTTTAAAAACCTTCTTCTCCCCCTCCAGGAGGGTGCCAGCTGGGCATCACAGCCAAGGGGGAGTGTCTGAAGCACTGGTACGAATGTCTCAAGAACAAAGACAAAAAGATTGAGCGCTGGCAACGACAACACCGTCAAAGACACGGACGACTGAGACATGACCTCTTCCTCCTCCTCCCGCTTCCTCTTCTTTCTCTTCCTCCTCCTCCCTCCTAACTAGCGGTTTCTATCTTCCTTTTAAATATAATATTTTGTCTTCTAATCATCCAATTGTTTTTAAATGTATTTAAATTGTAAAGTATTTTTGTCTGTAACGTTTTTTCGTTATGTGTCGGAACCCAGGAAGACTAGCTGTCTCCATTGGCGTCGGCGAATGGGATCCTAATAAAATCATAAATCATAATTTAGGTCTTCCTACTTTAAGTAATGTGAACCTGAATTAGCAGAAAATTAAGGCTCTCACTATTTTTACAACTTCATTCTTCTTGTGCTGACAGAATGCTTATTGGATTCATGTACTTATCAACACAGTATTTACAGTGAAACAAAAAGAAACAGCAACAGAATCATACTTCAGAATACCGTACTTCAAGCATGCTTTACTGCTTCTGGGGGAAAGTGATCTCTTTCACTTATCTCTAAAACCTGGAAACCGGATTTGAATAAATACGGTGCTAAATTATGATTTAAAAAATCCCTTTAGATTGTTAAATAATGTGTTGCTACACCATCCTTGCCTATCTCAGTCTCAGGGATGTAGCTCAGTTGGTAGAGCATGGCGTTTGCAACGCCAGGGTTGTGGGTTTGATTCCCACGGGGGGCCAGTATGAAAAATAAAATAAAAATAATAATCATGTAAGTCGCTCTGGATAAGAGCGTCTGCTAAATGACTAAAATGTAAATGATGCAGTCATACAGATGTAGGATCTTAATTTGATCACTCTTTTGTTACTGAGAATTTTCCTGCACAGCAGTAGTGTATTTGAGTTTAGAAAGGCTTCTAAAGTTTGTAATTTCCATTTAGACATTTCAGACTTGATTTGCTCTAATGGAAAATGTATAAATCCCTACAAAAATGTCCATTAATTATAATCCACATAATAATTCACATTTCCTGTTGCTGCAGGATTATTTTCCTGCTGTACCAAATTGGCTCAAATTAAGATCCTACATCTGTAATCTGTCTTGTATACTTCTATACTGTGACTGCTTGGTACTAGTGTTTGAGCTGCCAAAGCATATGATCTTCAGTTGTGTTACTGTATGTACAAACAGTTTGTTAAAAGGAGCATATGTTGGATGTTACGGAACATATGTTGATGTTATATATGAATGAAGATATTTACATAGGATTAGCTGTTTAGGTTGATAACATGTCATGTGTTATTGAAGCATTAGCTCATCTAAGAACCATGGGATATCATAGAAACTTGGAATGCACTGACTTAGATGTTGCTCTCTTTCTTTCGCCCCCTTCTCGCTCACTTTCTTTCTCTTTCGCTCTCTCGCTCTCTCGCTCTCTCACTCTCTCACTCTCGTAGAACAAAGCAATTACTCCAAGCCTGATTAAATAATGATCAGACAATGCTGTAGACATGGGCATATTGCACTGCACTGCATATAACTGTGACAGATAACAAATGCGCGCAAAATACACGCTGAGCGTGAGCCCTGTCTAGATCATATGACGTACATTGACCTGTAGTAGGTTTGATTGCTAGACATTCTCAAATGTGACATTATCTGTGATAGCGTATGTTAAACCATAATGTGGTGCAAAGTAAAATAAAAGGTGTGTTGATATTCACTTTGAATAAGAATTGTATTTTCAAGTGCAGTATAAAGTTGTGGATGTTTTGTAGATACATATGTACACATTATGTATTTGCCTTCTGCCACTGTTATCATAGTCTTGGGAGAAAGCATGCAAATGGTTAATGCACAGTGTATAAAGTACTTAAGTAAATTACTTTAAAGTACTACTTAAGTAGTTTTATGGGGTGTCTGTACTTTACTTTACTATTGGTTAATCCAAGATGGCGAAGTAGTGCAGTTCTGTTTTTGTCGTGTGTCTGTAAATAGCCTGTAAATACCCTGTTTTTTTGTATTTTTCGTACATATTTCCCTATCAGACTTTTCATCCTTCTACAAAATATACTTTCCTGCAACCCGCCTCACTCAATGTGGAACGGATTCTATTATTGACTTACCTTTTATATAGAATCTCCAGTTGAAACTAGCTAGCCAGCTAACTAGCTACTTGCTATTGTCACGATCGTTGACACATGATGAAGCGGACCAAGGCGCAGCGTTGAATGTGAACATATTATTTATTAGAATGATCACCCGATCAAAACAACAAAACAACGACGTGACAGTCAATGGTCAATACACAACCAAACACGAACAAAATCCCACAAACCCGAATGAAAAACAGACAGTTAAATATGGCTCCCAATCAGAGACAACCCACGACAGCTGACACTCGTTGCCTCTGATTGGGAGTCACTCTGGCCAACATAGAAATAAACACCCATAGATCTACACACCCTGGCTCAACATAACAGTGTCCCCAGAGCCAGGGCGTGACAGTACCCCCCCCTAAAGGTGCGGACTCCGACCGCGCCAACCAAATACCACAGGGGAGGGACCGGGTGGGCACTCCGCCTAAGCGGCGGATCCGGCTCCGGGCCTGATCCCCGCTCCCTCTCCAACCCCCCAAAGTACCCCTGGTCCGGTCTGGCCCCGCTGGCCGGAGCTGGACTGCACACTGGTGGAGCGGATTGCTCTAGCTCCGGCGTGAAGCATCTGACCGGTGCCGGACCAGCCACCGGTGGAACAGGCACGGGCCGTGCCGGACTGACGACGCACACCACTGGCTTGGTGTGGGGAGCAGGAGCGGGCCGAGCCGGGCTGTCGAAGCGCACCCCTGACTTGGTGCGGGGAACAGGCACGGGCCGTGCCGGACTGACGACGCACACCACTGGCTTGGTGTGGGGAGCAGGAGCGGGCCGAGCCGGGCTGTCGAAGCGCACCCCTGACTTGGTGCGGGGAGCAGGAACGGGCCGAGCCGGGCTGTCGAAGCGCACCACTGACTTGGTGCGGGGAGCAGGAACGGGCCGAGCCGGGCTGTCGAAGCGCACCCCTGACTTGGTGCGGGGAGCAGGAATGGGCCGGACTGGGCTGGCGACGCGCACCGTAGACTTGGTGCGAGTGGCAGGAACAGGCCGGACCATACTGGGAACACACACCACTGGCCCTACGTGGGGATCAGGAACAGGCCGGACCGGACTGGCAACACACGCCAGTACCTCTCGCCGTGCCTCTACATCCTCCCTCCCCCTGGTGACCAGTGACTCCCGTAACCTGGCGGCCTCCTGCTGCCCCGTCGTCCACGGCGTTAGCCCCCCCCTAAAAAATTTCTGGGCGTCTCCCCTACCCGTGGACCAGGTCTCCATGTCCCTCGCCAGCCTTTCGCCCTTCTGCCACAAGGTCAAGCCCTTCTCTTCCTCACTCGGCTTGACCCAGTCGAGGAGGCGAAGGAGATCTGTTAGGGATCTCCCTGGCGATGGCTCCTGGACACGCTGCTTGGTCACATCTTGGTGGGATTTTCTGTCACGATCGTTGACACATGATGAAGCGGACCAAGGCGCAGCGTTGAATGTGAACATATTATTTATTAGAATGATCACCCGATCAAAACAACAAAACAACGACGTGACAGTCAATGGTCAATACACAACCAAACACGAACAAAATCCCACAAACCCGAATGAAAAACAGACAGTTAAATATGGCTCCCAATCAGAGACAACCCACGACAGCTGACACTCGTTGCCTCTGATTGGGAGTCACTCTGGCCAACATAGAAATAAACACCCATAGATCTACACACCCTGGCTCAACATAACAGTGTCCCCAGAGCCAGGGCGTGACAGCTATTAGCCACAGTTAGCGGTATTTCACCCAGAACATTGGATTTTTTTTCTGCGGGATTCATTTAATCACTGGATATTAATCACCGGATATTCGGCCAGTCTGCACAGCGCGTTATCGACCCAGAACATATCAGTTTTTCTGCCGGAATCACTGAATCACTGGACCTTTAACTCCGGATTCATCACTACCAGCTAGCTTCAACTAAATGGACGCTGTGGTCTGGCTAATCATCCTGAGCTAGGCCCATCTCCCGGCTATCTACCTCTCTGTCAACCGGACGGGACCACCTAGTGTTGACACGGAGCCCCGCCGATCCTACACGACTGGTCTGCCGACGAAATCGTCTGATGTGGTTACGACGACGTCGACCACGAAGATTCCATCTGCTAGCCCCGGCCCGCTAGCACACGCTAGCCGTGGCCTCTTACCTGCTAGTGCTTTAGCAGCCTCCGAACTATCCTATTGCTGTTCACCGGATGTCTGCTGGACTGTTCCTTTTTACGGTACTACATCCTGTTTATGTTTAGCCTCAGCCCAAACATGGTTAGCTTATTGTTGTTTCGGTTATTTCTAATTGTACTATTTCACTGTAGATCCCCCAGCCCAGCTAAACCTGCCTTAGATAGCTCCTTTGTCCCACCCCCCATACACGCAGAGACCGACTCAATTGATGCCTCTAGTGATACTATCTCTTTCATTGTTACCCAACGCTTAGGTTTACCCCCACTTTACTCATATCCTTCCATATCCTTGTCTGTACATAATGCCCTGAATCTTTTCTACAACACCCGGAAATCTGCCCCCTTTATTCTATGTACCCAACGCACTAGAAGACCAGTTCTTAAAGCCTTTAGCCGTATCCTTATTATAGTCCTCCTCTGTTCCTCTGGTGATGTAGAGGCTAACCCAGGCCCTGCAGCCCTCAGTATCACTCCTACTCCCCAGGCGCTATCATTTGCTGACTTCTGTAATCGCAAAAGTCTTGGTTTCTTGCACGTAAACATCAGAAGTCTACTTCCTAAGTTTGAGTTATTCACTGCGTTAGCACACTCCGCCAACCCTGATGTTCTAGCAGTGTCTGAATCCTGGCTCAGGAAGGCCACCAAAAATTCTGAAATTTCCATCCCCAACTAGATAGAACTGCCAAAGGGGGTGGAGTTGCAATCTACTGTAGAGATAGCCTGCAGAGCTCTATCATACTATCCAGGTCTGTGCCCAAACAGTTTGAGCTTCTACTTCTAAAAATCCACCTTTCCAGAAATAAGTCTCTCACTGTT